ACCATCGTTTCGGCGTCCAAGAGTGGCCGAAACACCGCTATTTACAGTGTTTCGTGCCTTCCACGTTTTCTTGAAATTGCAAAAACACTGTAAATACCAGCATTTTTTGCGATCAACCCGCCAAAAATGCTGTAATTTATAGTGTTTTTTTGCTTTGCTTGCAAAAACACTGGTATTTGCAGTGTTTTGTGCATCCCTGGTCTAAACAGTATTGGTATTTACAGCATTTTCTGTGTTTTTGAAATGCTCCCGCCAACGACGTTAAAATGCAAAAATGCTGTAATTTACAGCATTTTGTGACTTTCGAAAAGCGAAAAATCATCCGGCGCTTTTTCCCGATTTTAGGTACCCTCAAAACGGGGGGGGGCGGGATTATGCTCTTGGAGACGCTTATGAGCGACCCGTATTCCGGCCAAAAAGCTCGCCCCCACCCTCCTGAAGGATGGTTGGTGTTTTTCGGGGCCCGCCGTCGGAGGGTCGGCGGCTTGGGGCGCGCCTCACCATAGAGCTCTAGTCGCTCTGGGACGCTCGTAGGGCAAGCCACTCGTGGGGAGCCGGCGGAGCCGAATTTAAGCGCTTACGCGCGACAGCCGGCCAGGGGCCCAACTATGTAGGCCCATTGTGTGGCTATGTTGGCCTATGTTGGCGTATGTTGGCCTATCTTGCGGGCAATGTGGGCCCATCTTGTGGCTATGTTGGCCTATGTTGGCCTCATGTTGAAGCATGTTGAGGCAAAAGATCCGAAAAATGGGAACAGCAAAAAAACACTGTAAAACGCAGGATATTTTGATGTTCGGCGGCCTATCTTGGGGCTATGTGGGCCCATGTTGGCGCTATGCTGGCCCATCTTGAGGCTATGTGGGCCCATGTTGGGGCTATGTTGGCCCATCTTGGGGCTATGTTGGCTCATCTTGGGGCTAGGTTGGCCCATCTTGGGGCTATCTTGGCCCATCTTGGGGCTATGTTGGCCCATCTTGAGGCCTATGTTGGCCCATCTTGAGGCCTATGTTGGCCCAGGTTGACCCATCTTGAGCCACAAGATCCGGAAACGGCGAAAAAATGCGACGAGCACAAAACACCGTAAAACGCGGGACTTTTTGGCGGGCAAAGGTGTCGGCGGCTGGGGCGGCGGCCCCTCTCTCCTACGGAGAGGAGAGAAACGCCTTCGGCAAGGACACGGCCAGGGGGCCCCTGGCCGGATTTAAGCGCTTACGCGCGACAGCCGGCCAGGGGCCCAACTATGTAGGCCCATTTTGTGGCTATGCTGGCCTATGTTGGCCTATGTTGGCCTATCTTGCGGGCAATGTGGGCCCAGCTTGTGGCTATGTTGGCCTCATGTTGATTCATGTTGAGCCAAAAGATCCGAAAAATGGGGACAGCAAAAAAAACACTGTAAAACGCAGGATATTTTGATGGTCGGCGGGCTATGTTGGCCCATCTTGGGGCTATGTTGGCCTATCTTGGGGCTATGTTGGCCCATCTTGGGGCTATGTTGGCCCATCTTGGGGCCTATGTTGGCCCATCTTGAGGCCTATGTTGGCCCATGTTGACCCATCTTAAACCACAAGATCCGAAAAATGGGAAAAAGTGGGAAGAGCACAAAACACCGTAAAACGCGACAGTTTTTGGCCGGACCGGGTGGTCGGCGGCAGGGGCGGCGGCCCCTCTCTCCTACGGAGAGGAGAGAACTGCCGTACGGCAAGGACACGGCCAGGGGGCCCCTGGCCGGATTTAAGCGCTTACGCGCGACAGCCGGCCAGGGGCCCATGTTGAGGTGATATGGGTAGCTGGGAGCAGGATCTTAAGGCTATGTTGCCCCATCTTGGGGCTATGTTGGTCCATCTTGGGGCTATGTTGGCCCACCTTGGTGCTATGTTGGCCCGTCTTGGGGCCTAGGTTGGCCGATCATAAGGCCTATGTTGACCCATGTTGAGCCAAAAGATCCGAAAAATGGGAACAGCAAAAAAACACTGTAAAACGCAGGATATGTTGATGGTCGGCGGCCCATCTTGGGGCTATGTTGGCCCATCTTGGGGGCTATGTTGCCCCATCTTGAGGCTATGTGGGCCCATCTTGGAGCTATGTTGGCCCATCTTGGGGGTATGCTAGCCCATCTTGGGGGCTATGTTGGCCGATCTTGAGGCTATGTTGGCCCATCTTGAGGCCTATGTTGGCCCATGTTGACCCATCTTGAGCCACATGTGCGATGTTAGTGCAAAAACATGTTGAATGTCACAGGGCCAAAAAAACACTGTAAATTACAGGGGTTTCTGTCGACACGCGCACCCTACCGGAGGTCGGCGGCAGGGGCCCAACTATGTTGACCCATCTGTTGGCCTATGTTGACCTATCTTGCGAGCAATGTGCGCCCAGCTTGGAGCTATGTTGACCCAGCTTGGGGCTATGTTGGCCTATCTTGAAGGCTATGTGGGCCGATCTTGAGGCCTATGTCGGCCGATCTTGAGACCTATGTTGGCCCATGTTGACCCGCGTGGAGCCAAAAGATCCGAAAAATGGGAACAGCAAAAAAACACTGTAAAACGCAGGATATTTTGAGGGTCGGCGGCCGATCTTGGGGCTATGTTGGCCCATCTTGGGGCTATGTTGGCCCATCTTGGGGCTATGTTGGCCCAGCTTGGGGCTATGTTGGCCCATCTTGGAGCTATGTTGGCCCATCTTGGGGCTATGTTGGCCCATCTTGGGGCTATGTCGGCCCATCTTGAGGCCTATGTTGGCCCATCTTGAGGCCTATCTTGGCCCATGTTGACCCATCTTAACCCACAAGATCCGAAAAAGGCCCAAAAATGCGAAGAGCACAAAACACCGTAAAACGTGGGGGTTTTTGGCGGCCGGGTTGGTCGCCGGCAGGGGGCGCGGCCCCTCTCTCCTACGGAGAGGAGAGAAACGCCTTCGGCTATGCCACGGCCAGGGGGCCCCTGGCCGGATTTATGAGGCTTACGCCTGACAGCCGGGCGCCGGCAAAAGCAGACCCGTCAGCCCGAGCGGGCGTTGGTGTTGTTGTTGTTGTTGTTGTTGTTGTTGGCCGATGTTGGCCCTATTTGGGCGCAGGTTTGCCCCTGTCTTGGCCCTCGGTTGGCCCATGTAGCCCACATCTTGGCGTAATGTCGACCCAGGTAGCCCACATCTTGGCCGATGTTGGCCCTATCTTGGCCTATGTAGTCCCTATCTTGGCCTTATGTCATACAACTTCTATCAGGAGGTCTCCCATGTAGAGAGGTCTTGTTCGTCATTTCGCCTCATGAGGGGCCATGAGGTTTTTCAAACAGCCGCCTAAAGAAGTTCTTTTGAGTATGGACCCATAGATCCATAGATCTCTTTGAAACCTTTGAGCGGCTTGCCCCCCGAACAACGAAGGGATTGCGGTGGGTCAGGAACAGCTCTTGCAGAAGAAAACATATATTGAGAGCCGCAAAGACATCAGACCCTGCCGTATTCCAAGACTTTTTGAGACTTTATGACACTTTTTGGGTTCGGATGCAATTCGATGCCAAAAAGGAATCAAGTTCCAGTGACCCGAAATTGAAAGACGAGGAACACCTTCACACTCTTTGGAGCTGCAACTATCTTCAACCCGACTTCCAAAACCCCCACCAAGGGTTGGTCCGAGGTTCAACCAGCCGCACAAGAGTCTTTGCCTTGCTGCAGGCATCCTTGTATTGTTTTGCATTTCATTCAAATGCGGAAAAATCATTTGTGTACGAAACCCTGTGAAGGTGGCAGGTGAGCAAAGGCACTCGCTTCAATTTGTGAGTGCGAGTGTGCGCAAGCGGCGCAGTGTTCCTTGAGAATACCAAAGACCAAGACTATAGTCCTTCCAAATGATGTCCTCGCTTTCGGTCTGTCTTGGAGATTTTGCAGTTACTCCACATCCCAGAAGATTCTAAGACATCTTAAGCTGGACTCTGGAGCAAGGCACACTCAAGCGGGGCTTGGGGCTTGGGGCTTCACCACAAGGGTGCCCCAGTTACGTTTGGTATAACTGATTTATAACCCCATTAACTAGTTCAATACATCTACCATAAACACCGAATGGAATTCACCTAGTTCACCCCAATATTCCCCATATTTTGTGGAATCAAGATTCATGGCAGCTGAGCTTCAGGCCTGGCACCGCCCTGAGACATGTGCCGAGGTGCTCTCTTGAGCTGAAGCATTGGACCTGGGTGACGTACAACTTGCGATTCCATTTTTTGAAGGTTTTGAACAGCTTTGAACTGCTTTGAACATGTTTTAAGGTGGTGGATTTGAATTCTTTTGAATTTTTGGCTCTCAAAAGTGTCGACGCCACGGGATCTCACGGGACCTCACGGGACGTCGAGGGTCAGAATCTGAAGCTCTAACAGACTCTAACATAGAACGAACCATCTGAAGATGTCGATGTTTTCTGTCATTTTCTATTGTAAACCAGAAGGTATACCTGCTTGTACCATATAAGATTGTTTCCGTGACCAAATGCGAGGTTCACACGTCACGAAGAAGCTTTCTCTTCCCAACAGCGTCACTTGATGCGGAGGTTCCGGTGTGGTGGTTCTGGGGGTTCCGATGGTGTGCGTCTTGTTCATGAACTTTTGATGCATGTTCCAGGGCAGTTCCGGGTGGTTCCGAGTGGTTCTGGGTGGTGCCGGGTGGCTCCGGGTGGTTCCGAGTGGTTTCGTACTATTTGTGTTGAATCACATAGTTTTTCCTGCTTCAGTTTCTTGGCGTCACTTCCCAAATTTTCGTTCCTTGCCTACTTGGCGTTAAAAGTTAGTCAGGACGGAGAACATGTTGAACACAGTTGTCCAACACAGCATAGTTGGTCAGCACGCATTCCAGGTGCAGGTCGATCCTTTGGAAAAGTCCGGGCCTGAGGCAGTGTGGACCTTTTCAGGATTTTATCTCTCGCCCAAGCGATCGATTCGAAGTGGAGAGGTGTTTTTCCTGAGATGATCCATATGCGTTGGAAAGCTGGCACTGGTTGCTTGTGGAACGCCATTGGCTCGAGACATCCTGACCAAACGCCATGTCGGCCATGTCGGCCATGTCGGCCATCGTTCCACTGTCGCTCTTCTTGGTGAGTGTGAGCCCCATCGCAGCTGAACTTGAGCCCGAGGATGGCTGCTTGTTGCAGAAAACCAACGAGCGACAGCTTTTGACCAAGGAGGAGCAAGGTCCTGTTCCTGGCTATACACTCCTGTGCGGACCCAGATGCAGATGTGCATTTCCTGAAACTCTTAAAGAAGGACCCACCAATGCTGTTGAATGTGCAGCCGCTTGTCCAACCTCATCAGCCACATCATGGCTTGGATTTACTTTCGATCCAACCGGTCCTGAATGCCGTTGCTGCAACAACCTCGATATTGTTTCCCCTGTCAATAAAAATTTCTATTTATACGCATTCACCGGGGAAGTGGTCGGGGACCCACACATCACTACTTTGGATGGCAAACACTACACTCTTCTCAGCCAGGGTACCTTTTCCCTGTGGCATTTCTCAGGCCTGGAGACGGAGTTGCATTCAGAAGAAGTTGGAACCAAGAAACTCCCAATCGATTGGCAAGTGTACGTGCACTATTCGGGCCACCAATCCTTCACGAAGGGCTTGCTTCTGATCGACAAGTCAGGAGGATCCATCCGACAAGTGCTTGAGATCACTTCGCAGGACTGCAGGTGGAAAGCACGGAAAGGAAACGGAGACTGGAGAGTGGTCGACAATGCAGAGCTCATCTCCATCCCAGATGGTAAGGACTACGTGACAGGCTTCGACCTCGGCACCGTGGGTCCTCGCGGTCATGGTGGCCATGGCTTTCCCAACCGTGTACGCTTCAACATGAACACGAAGAATGGCAAGTCGGACATAGCAGTCATGAGTCTCAGTTGCAGACCAAGCCACAACATGAATCTCCAAATCTCAATGAACCGCCAGAGCGACCAGCAGTTTGTGGATGGCGAGTTGAAGGTCGCACGCAAGTCGCTGTCTACGCTGCAGACCTCCACCGACTTTGAATTCAGCGTGGATAGCAAGTGGCAAAAGCTCGGTGGAAGTGAACAAGCAGCCTCGTACTTTCAGCTCGTTGACACAAATCAAACATCTGTTGCCTCGTTCCAATCGCAAGGCTGCAGTGATGCTGAAAAAGGTTTGGCGGCAGAGGCTTGTTCCAAGCACTTGGGAGAGGCGCATGGCACGCATTTCTTTGAAGATTGCATTTATGATGTTTGCCATGGCGCTGGCGAGACGCAAGCAGAACTTGCTGCAGAGCTTCTCGCTGTGACCAAAGCTGATTAGGATGAATACTGGGACGTGCGGATTTACCATATGATTTACTCGCACTTGTTAGTGCGATTTACCATATGATTTGCTCGCACGTGTCAGGGGCAGTTCTTTCCCTTCAGCACCTTCCCATATGCGGTCGGTTTGGATGATTGCCCTCAGTGAAAAAGAGCTAGTTTCTCAACAGATGTGGTGAGACACAAGATGAACTGTGCACTTCTGAAGTCTGTGCAAATTCCAAGTTCCAAGTATTGTCCCACTTTGGGGTGCCATTTTTCACGTATGGCCTGGTATGCAGCAACCTCTGACACCATGCCCCACCTTGAGGTGGACTCCGCAGTAAATCAGCAAGAGGACTGACATGTCATGTTGGTATGCCCTACCTGCAGATATCTACAGTGATCCGTTTTCTTTTTTCGTGGTTGCAACGGTTGCAACGGTTGCAACGGTTGCAACGGTTGCAACGTGTCCTGGCGATGTTTGGTCGCCCCAATCCCAGTGTAATATGGCTTTGTCTGAAAATAGGGCATGCCCAAACCCCGTGGTTCATCATTTTCCAAAAATGCCAATTGGGGGTGTAGCTCATTTTCAGACGTACACGCGCACACATTTTTTAGTGTATCAATATGGGATTTATGAGGAAGCAGGAGCATCAAAAGCAGCCTTGCAAACGGCCATTGATTCTAAGTGATGCTTAAGAACCGTGGACTTCCGGGGCCACGATGGCAGGAACAGTGCGGTCCATTTTCCCAGCTCTGCAGCAGTGGCTTGATGGATCCAGAAACAGGGGCACAAGATCAGTGATTCTTCATTTGGCAGAAATTTAAAGCATTCTTAATTGGATTTGGATGGATTTGGATGTTGGCTTTGGGCCTACAAAGAGGGGGTGTGATCATCCATTAAAACCATCCCTGAAGTGGTCGTCAATTTGGGAACCCGTGTGGATTATTTTGCTGGAAATAATCCAACAAATTGGAAACTTTGGGGGTCGACAATTTAGAGAAAATCCACATGACAATCTCTGGTCCACAGCTTTTTTTAGTTTTGGAACTATGCAAAATCGATTGGGCCCACCAAATCATCGTCCATTCAAGGTGCAAAATTGAGAATTTTGCGGACTTTTGGCCATGTCTGGCTGCATTTTAAGGATGAATTAGGTCAGAAAATTGGGCAATCTCCAATAGTTGATCATCACACAATAAAATGGCAGTTTTGGGGACCAAATTTGGTGCTTCCACAATGACTGGCCGGTTTTTCTTCAAGCTTGAGGCAGAGGTACAAGCTAAGGAGGAGATTGGGTTGAAATTTGGATCGGGGGTGCAGTAGGGGTTCTTCATGGGTATGACCATGGTAATAAACCCCCAACTTGATTATGTAACCACTTGTACTATAACTGGAAGTTTCTCCACATCATGCCTAGGAACACGATGCACCCAGCGACACGAGCCGGGGCCTGAGTCAAGTTTTCCGCTGTGGGATTGTGTGGTCCTGGTGTTCAGGGTTTGTTTTTACATTGACTAATAGAAAAACACCTTTCTTGCCAGCAAAACACATTTCAAATTGGATCTTCAACTCCTTGTTCTGTTTGTGCGACTTCTAGAGGCGACTTTGAAACTTCATACAACTTCTATCAGGAGGTCTCCCATGTAGAGAGGTCTTGTTCGTCATTTCGCCTCATGAGGGGCCATGAGGTTTTTCAAACAGCCGCCTAAAGAAGTTCTTTTGAGTATGGACCCATAGATCCATAGATCTCTTTGAAACCTTTGAGCGGCTTGCCCCCCGAACAACGAAGGGATTGCGGTGGGTCAGGAACAGCTCTTGCAGAAGAAAACATATTTTTAGAGCCGCAAAGACATCAGGCCCTGCCGTATTCCAAGACTTTTTGAGACTTTATGACACTTTTGGGTTCGGATGCAATTCGATGCCAAAAAGGAATCAAGTTCCAGTGACCCAAAATTGAAAGACGAGGAACGCCTTCATACTCTTGGGAGCTGCAACTATCTTCAACCCGACTTCCAAAACCCCAAGCAAGGGTTGGTCCGAGGTTCAGCCAGCTGCACACAAGAGTCTTTGCCTTGGTGCAGGCATCCTTTGATTGTTTTGCTCTTCATCGTTTCGGTACAATCATTTGTGTACGAAACCCTTGGGCGGGCAGATGTTTGAAGGTTTTTGGCACTCGATTCAGTTTGTTTTTGAGTGCGAGTCTGTGCAAGCAGCGCAGTGTTGCTGAGAATTCCAAAGACCAAGCCTATGTCCTTCCAAATGTCCTCACTTTCGGACAAAAACTTATAGGATCATATAGGTCTGCCCTGGAGATTTTGCAGTTACTCCACATCCCGGAAGATTCTAAGACATCCTAAACTGTACTCTGGAGCAAGGCACACTCAGACAGGGCTTGGGGCTTTATGGGGATGGGGCTTGACCAGGACCGTTCACCAGGAGCAGCATTGGATCCACCAGGCTGAGGCGCTCTAAGGCACCTCAAGGATGTCGAGGTCGAGGGATGTCAGAATCTGAACCTCCAACACAGAACGAACCATCTGAAGATGTCGATGTTTTCTGTCATTTTCGATTGTAAACCAGAAGGCGTACCTACATTATAATAAGATAATAAGATAATAAGATAATAAGATAATAAAATAATAAGATAATAAGATAATAATATATCAAGATAATAAGATAATAAGATAATA